GCCATTAAGTGTAGCAATAGCGAATTCCTTGTTGCATAACTTGCACACAACCATGCTCTTAACGACGCTTCCATCCGTTCGTTTTTTATAACAAAATTTCCCATCCACGGGGCCAACCAAAGCGATCTAGGCGATCTATGAAGCAAGCGATCTCGTCAGCTTCTTCATCATGAACGCTGTAACTCAACACCCTTGCCTCATTTAGTATGCGTTCCATGAATATGCAAATGACCCCGCCTCCACTCACTCACTCAGCTCAGAGATCCACTGGTTGACGATCACACATTGATCTGATTGGTTACAAGGTCGTTTGTGACGTCAGAAACACCAGCGATTTCAAACCGTGTTTTTGAGACTGTCTTTGCTTTGCTTTGCTCCTTAAAACTGCAGTTTTAAGGAGAAAATACTCAGCAATGCTGTCGAATTATGAACTTACACATGGTTTGTCTTAAAGCGTATTAAAAACACCACATAGACACATAAATAACATTAAAAGCTGGATTTTCACATAATTATTACCGGAGTAAGTAGGCCCTACATGTAAAAGATGTAACAATTAAGGGCACTGTAAAATAAATAACGTTTTTTTCAAACGTTATTTCCTGAACATCCAGTTTTTAAAATGTTTTTTTTTTTTTTTTGGTTATGCAAACATTAAGGAAATATTCCATTGTGCAAACAATAATGGGAACGTTACTTTTATTAAATGTTCTCTGAAACATTTAGGCCTATTTAAACAATGTCCAACTACAACATTTCTGAGAAATAAAACACTCTGATGATGATGATGCTGGTGTTTGTGCTCGTGTTGTGAGAACGCGAAAGGAACTCTGTTCTATTAACGTTCCGGTTTCACTTTAATTTATAGATTTAACCTTTACATTTTTCACCAGTCATATTTAACTCGCTGATTTTGTTCTGGAAATGTTCTGAAGATTGTGAAAGACATCAGAGCAGTGGAAACTAATGACGGATCACATCCTTCCCTCTGGAAAGCGCCATATCATCTTTATTCTTCAACTCTTCATGTTCCACTCGCTCGACTCAACCTTCTTATATCAGACGGAAGAAGTATATTCCTGTCCAGCTGGAAATCATATTTTGTCAAAGGAGATATGCATCTATGCAGCGAGGTTCAGAGAAGTTCACATGTTGCAATCACTACAGGGTGTGTGTGTGTGTGTGTGTTCAGAAACACACGCAATACACGATGATGTCATGACTGAGAGTGCTGTGCGTGCGACGACCTGATCGCATGTCAATCAAAGGTAACTATGCAAGAGTAAAAACGACATAGTTTGAAAATATTTATTTACATGTTGAAATACAATTGACATTTAACGGTTTAACATGTCATTTAAACTGTATGAAAGACGCTCCCTTTTAAAATCTTTGTTTCATATGTACACACATTTTGTGAATCAAAGTAAAAAAAAATTAAGGCTTTAGAATGATTTATAAACACAAAAAAGTAAAACACTTTACAATAGGGTTCATTAGTTAATGTATTAACCATGAACTAGCAATAGTTACAGTGTTTATTAATCTTTGTTAATGTTAGTTAATAAAAATACAGCTGTTCATTGTTTGTTCATGTTAGTTCACAGTGCATTAACTAATGTTAACTAATACAACCTTTGATTTTAACAACCTATTGGTAAATGTTGAAATATTATTAACTAAGATTAATAAATGCTGAAATGCTGTTTATTCTTAATTCATGTTAACCAAGGTAGTTAACTTATGTTAACTAATGAACCTTATTGTTAAATGTTACACACTTGACTGAGAACAATAAAGCATAAAAAGTCCCTCGCAGTTTAAACAAATTGTTCATAAATGTAAAAGGCAACTTTTAGTTAAGATCTGAATCTGAGGCAAAAATAGAGCAGATCTTTGGAAAACAATCTAAGAAAGTGTTTTATTTGCTGGATGAAGAAGAAGCGGTCACTGTTAAAGTGAAACTGTACATGTTCAGATTGATCTGGTCAGTCTCTGGTACATCATGAGAAAGTGTGTTTTCAGCTGTCAGTTTCAGTGCAGTCCTACACAAACACATGCGCGGCACTCCAGGGGATTTGGTACATGTCAACTTTCTTATTGCTATTGTAAAGTTTTTGATAATGGGCAAAAATGAATAGGGTCCAAAAGTCTGAGACCACTAGATCCTGATGCTCTTTCACTGCAGAACCAGCAGAAACTGTGGCTCTTGTTGGGATGACAGAACTGATGATTCTCCTGAGCAGTTTCAACTTCAATACAAGCAAAAAAAGCCTCTTTAACCTCATCCTTCCCTCGGGTCATTCTGACCCGGAAATATGTTTTTGATTTTTTTTTTTTTTTAAATCGAGTGTTCATCGGAGGGGTCCAAGACCCTATGACTTTTTTAAAAAAATGGATTCGAGGAGTTTTGTGGTTGTAATTTTAAAAAGTAACAAATCCTTCCCTCTCGGGAAAATGCTCAAATTTTACCAAAACATTATTGTATAATGTCTACATGTGTATGTGAACGCACACTAAAGAAAAACTGGCTTTAGGACCCAGCGGAACAGCTCCTCTGCTCCATATAGAGCTATAAACCCATCTAGAGTCATGAAATATCATGTTATATTAATATTTTCCACAAGAGGTCGGCAAAGACTCCCAATGTAAGATATTTTGAGCTGAATTAAAAGGGTTATGCATGAAATAGTTATTTTAAATATAAGTTAAAAGAATGTGAGGAATGTGCTTAAATTACTATTTTTTATTATTATTTATTGATCAAATCTAGTCATTTAAAGGTACACAAAATAATAATAAAAAAATATTATCAAAATGAAATAAAATAAGCTTTCTGGACAAAAAAAAGAAAGAAAAATAAGTATAATTGTAGGTCTTCGGGTCGAGGGAAGGATTTCCCTAGTTTATTTATTTAGCTTTATTTGAATCTTACAGGTTTAAATGAGAATAAATCCCTGAATTGGAATGATCTCAGACTTTTGAACATCACTGTATTCAGTAAAAAAAATGAAATATGGAGTGTCACTTTTATGTCCTTGGCTTTGCTGACACAGATCTTCACAGTGGAACTGCCCTGTTGTGCTGGTCTTGAAAGCCAGAAACGAATGTCTGTGGAATGAGTTCAGGATCAGGATCAGGACCAGGACCAGGACCAGGACCAGGACCAGGATCAAGATCAAGATCAAGTTCAGGACCAGGACCAGGATCAGGATCAAGATCAAGATCAAGATCAAGATCAAGATCAAGTTCAGGATCAGGATCAGGATCAGGATCAAGATCAAGATCAAGATCAAGATCAAGTTCAGGATCAGAATCAGGATCAGGATCAGGATCAAGTTCAGACTCAGGCTCCGGATCAGGATCAGGAGTTCAGGATCAGGATCAGGATCAGACTCTGGCTCCGGATCAGGATCAGGCTCCAGATGGCTAGTACAGGTCCCTGATGATCTCCTGCAGGAGCGGGTGAAGGCACCAGTCCACCTCGGTCTCCTTCATGAGTGTGATGAGCTGCACGTGGTCCGTCACCAGCTGGCGCAGGTCCGTCATCTTCTGCAGGACTTTGGCGAACAGCTGCAGGGAGTCGGGATGGTTGGTCTTCAGCTGCAGCTCCAGAGAGTGCAGGACCGTCTCCTGAAGGTCCTCGATGGGCTTGACGTTCAGCAGGCCGGGTCGGTCTGGCGGAGGGAAACAGCGCTTCGTTAAACAGAACCACTGAAACTGGGAATCTCAGGAAAAGATTCGCTTCAGGGTTTACAGTCCATCATATTTCAACACGGAATAAAACATATGAAAAAAATAGGATAATCACCCACATCCTCCTCACAAATTCTCATTATTGTGATAAAAGCATCACATTAAGCAGTAAAAAATGTCATTATCATTCTTTATATACAGTAAATCATAAAAATAATCCACAATGATTTCATTTTTAATAAACTACCACGATTAAAATATAAATTTACAAACGTTCTCTATAGTTTAAAATATTTTCACAATAAATTGATCATTTTAATGAAAATATGAATTCACATTGATTTCATTTTTAGTAATCCAAAAACTACAAATGTTCTTTTAAAAAATTTAATTTATATGAAAATTAAAAATTAATTCTCTTCATGACCCATTGTAATTTAGTCACTGAGATAGTTTTGATTAATAATATTTAATATAATTTTTATTATTATATATTAATATTATATTTTTTTATCATAATAGTTTACATTCATGTTTTGAATTAGATTTCATGTTATAATTTCTGTTTTTATTTTAATTTCAGTTAGTAATTGTGTAACTTTTATATACCCCCCCCCCCCCCCCCCCCCAAAAAAAAATCCCATGTGTATAGTTTTTCTACATTTTTATTTCAGTTTTAAATAAATTTCATTAAACTGACTTAAAAAATGAGTTGAATCTTGCATAACTTAAAAAAGGTTGAACACTACTTATTTTAAAGAGTTAAAGCAATGTAAAAACACATATTTGTTATAACTTATTGATCATACACTCTAAAAACCGCTGGGTTGTTTCAACCCAACTTTGGGTCAAATATGGACAAACCCAGCTGTTGGGTTACATTTTTTAAATTGCATTTTTAATCCAACATTTGGGTTTGTCCATATTTGACCAGAAATTGAGTTAAAACAACCCAGCATTTTGTATCCCAGTGTATCTTTGAATCGTCTTTCGTCTTTCAAGGGATTTAAAGGGATAGTTCACATTGAAATTAATTTTTGATATGTTTTAGCTTACCTCAAGGGGATCCAAGATGTAGGTGTCTTTGTTTCCGCGGAAGTTTCAATTTTGATATTTTTAGGTCAAACCGTTCTTGTCTGTCAGTCATATAATGCAGGTCTATGGTCACCACCTCAAAGAGCATGCACAGAGAAGTCCAAATTCAACATGATGTAATGACTCGTAAATGTAAGTACACATTGATGGCCTAAGACACGAAACGAGCGGTTTGTGTGAGAAAACGAACAGTATTTATATCGTTTTTGCCTCTTGTAACCACAGCCACATCCAAGTGATCTGAGGCGCGGGCGCTTCGGTCTGTGCGTTACAAGAGGTAAAAACGATATTAATACTGTTCGTTTTCTCACACAAACCGCTCGTTTCGTGTCTTAGGCCATCAATGTGTACTTACATTTACGAGTCATTACATCATGTATAATTTGGACTTCTCTGTGCATGCTCTTTGAGGTGGTGACCATAGACCTGCATTATATGACTGACAGACAAGAACGGTTTGACCTAAAAATACCAAAATTGAAACTACTGCAGAAACAGACACCTACATCTTGGAAGCCCTTGAGGTAAGCTAAAACATATCAAAAATTTATTTCAAAGTGAACTATCCCTTTAAGGGTATCTTTGAATGGTGTTTTTGGTGAGATGGTTAAACTGTAAAGATCTGTTCGTGTCACCTCCGCTCAGGATGATGACGGCGAGGAACAGCGCCATGTCGCTGTCGTCCAACTCCAGCATGTTGAACTTGACGGAGAACTCGAACTTGGGCTCCATCATCTCGCAGAAGGGTTTGCGCAAGCTCTTGACGAACTCGCGGGTCATGAAGATCTGGCCGTAGGAGATGAGCGTGCCGTCCTTGTTCATGAGCGGCGCCATCATGATGATGAGCACCTCGATCACGCCGTACTTCAGGAGCGTCACCTGGTCGTTCAGGTCCAGGTTCACGAAGCCCGGGATGCTCTTGGCGAACTCGGTGACTTCGCTGACGGCTTCGGCCGATCTCGACTGGCAGCTGTGGAAGAAACGCAGCTCCACTTCGTGAATGACTCCCATGTCGGATCTCCGGTGCTCCTGCATCGGCATCTGCCGGGAGTTGATCATGTGCTCGCCTTCCATCAGGGACTTCATGTCGTGGATCACGAAAGGCTGTGAACGAGGAGAACGTCCATCATCAGTTTGAGCTAAGACCCAACTCTTCTTAGCTACATGTGGTTTATTTAGTGTTTTGTTTATTTGTATAGTGTGTTTGTCTATATGTTTTGTAAGGTTGGGTCTGTAAAGCACTTTGGCCAACTTGTGTTGTTTTTGATTGATTTTGTGTTGATTGATTGATTGATTGAGTCTGCTTCCACTTAGAAAGATGCAGCTGGTCACTTAATAATTTTGGGTTAAAAAACCCATAGAGTAACCCAACTATGGGCACCTTCCCAACTGTGGGTTATTTTAACCCAATGTATTAGGTTATAACTAGAAATTACCCTACGATTTAAAAAATGACCCAACTTAGAGACCCAATATTTGTAACCCAACGTTGTTTACTGTGTGTAAACAGTGCAGTCAAAGAACTTATTTTCTATGAACGAGTTCAAATGCTTCAATATGTTGTTGCACTGGGACTCGAGTACGACCACACGGGCTGAAACATTATTACAATATGGCCTCTTTAAGAAAGGCTCTACATTACGCCTTTCCTCAAAGTCTTGATGTTGTTTCAGGCTCTACTAGAACAGGTTTTCCTGCTTGAATGTTGATTATTTCCCTATATTCTCCATTGTTGCGGCTCCTCTCTTCCCAGTCTGTCAGTAACACTCTGTTTACTTCCTGTCTCTGTGAAGCCCCTCCTTCTGAAAAGCACACTGTGCTCTGATTGGTCGGCTGGAGCAGTGTGTCGTGATTGGTCGAGTGTGTTTGGGAAATGTCCCGCCCCTTTCCATAACTGCCAGTTTAACACACTACTAACTAACTCAACCAGGCCCCGCCCCTTTATTCTGCATATTAATTATTATAATGAGGAATATTGTGACGTGTTCGTTCCCGGAAGAAACTCAAGACTACAATGGAGGCGTTTCAGGCGTTCAGAAACACTGACACTGATAGAGAGAAGAACTGGAGCTTGTTCATGATCAAACAGCAACATTACACACTAAATACAGATGAAGAAAAGCACAGCTCCTCTTTAAAATATACCAATGCATGTCTTGTCATTAGTTGAATATGAACTTCTCAATGTTTCTCTCAAGTGCTTTTTAGGCTCAAAACATGCAAGTAATCTTGAGTAATTGTGTATCAAAAATGTCAGACTCCAATCCATAACACAAGGGGCGCTATAACGCAACCGGGAGAAACTGTCTAAACTAAAGGCTTTCTCTTTCAGCTCAAGGTCACAAATATCTTGTTGAACAAGTTTTTTTTATCTACTGTAGTGCACTGAACAAAAACCTGGTGTAGGATTTCCTTTGAAACAATTTTCACTAAATTTTTTTTTTTTTTTTTACAGTGCAGCTGATGCATAAAACATCCAGTGTAATGAAACGAACATCGGCTGCGTCTGAAATCGCATACTTCCCTATAGGTGAAAAACAGTAGGTGACTTAAGAAGTATGTGTGAATTTACTGTACTATTATATAGAACTTTCTTGTTAGAGCTTGCAAAGTAAGCATTCAAAGTAATACCTTCTCAAGAGATTATGATATTTGGGACGCAGCCATGAAGGAGCCTCTAGCGCCCCCTTGAGGACAGGAGGTATTACAACAGGACTGTGAGCTCTCAGTGTTTACTCTCGTATTAGAACATGTAACATAAAACCCAGTAAAACAGTGAAATATTATTCCAGTGTAAATTAGCTGTTTTCTATGTGAATATATAGTAAAGTGTAATTTATTCCTGTGATCAAAGCTGAATTTCCAGCATCATTACTCCAGTCTTCAGTGTCACATGATCCTTCAGAAATCACTCTAATATGATGATCTGATGATCAAGAAACATTTATGATTATTATCAGTGTTGAAAACAGTTATTTACATTTTTTTTTTCAGGATTATTTGATGAATAGAAAGAATTTATCTGAAATAGAAAGCTTTTGTAACATTAAAAAGTTTGGGGTCAAGTGAACATTTTTATTTTATTTTTTGGGGGGAAAGAAATAAAATAAATCAATACTTTTATTCATCAAGGATGAATTAAATTGATCAAAAGTGACAGTAAATACATTTATAACCTTACAAAAGATTCTGTTTCAGATAAATGCTGTTCTTTTGAACTTTATATTCATCAAAGTATCCTGAAATAAAAATGTAAATAACTGTTTTGAACATTGATATTAATCATAAATGTTTCTTGATCATCAGATCATCATATTAGAGTGATTTCTGAAGGATCATGTGACACTGAAGACTGGAGTAATGATGCTGGAAATTCAGCTTTGATCACATGAATAAATTACATTTTTAAATATATTAAAATAGAAAATAGTTATTTTAAGTTGTCATAATATTTAACAATATTACCGTTTTTGTTGTTGTTGTATTTTTAATGAAATAAATATAGCCTTGGTGAGCAGAAGAGACTACTTTAACTTTAGAGCGGCGGTGTGTATCAATACTTTGATATTTCCTCCCTGCAGTCGTTGCCTTTAGAGATGTGTATAATGTCTCCGCAGAGCAGATGGTCGTATCGTTCACAGCGTTAGACAAAACACACATCTAACAGCCTTGCTCATATCTCGAGCTGAAGACTTACGGGTACGCTGGAACTCAACTTATTTCTGTCAACACAGTAGAAATGTTCAGTGGAGAGGCTATAATCATAATTGCTGTTTATATGAATAAAATGGCAACACTTTACAATAAGGTTCATTAGTTAACATTAGTTAACTACATTAGTTAGCATTAACTAATAATGAACTGCACTTATACAGCATTTATTAATCTTTGTTAATGTTAATCTCAACATTTACTAATACTTTATTAATATCTTTTTAATATTATTTAATGCACTGTGAACTAATATGATCAAACAATGAACGGCTGTATTTTTATTAACTAACATTGACAAAGATGAACTAATACTGTAACAAATGTACTGCTCATGGTTAGTTCATGTTAGTTAATACTAATGTCAACTTCATGTTAGTTACCAATAAAATAAATATAAAACGTATTCTTTAAAATAATTCCATTATTATTATTTAATGCAAGTGTTATTGATATATTTTTAAGTGTCCAAATACGTTTCGGGGCCAATGCATATAATTTAATAATAAATAATTTAGATGTTTGCTTTAACCTCAACATTTTAATATTAACCAGTAAATAAGTCTTTCATTTTAGGAATGTTCTTGAAATAATCTAAGAGTGAATGTCTGTTATGATTGGTCATGCACATCAATATTTATGTTTATGATGAAAGTATTGCGTGAGAATGAGATTATCTGTGTTTTAACCGACGGAAATCTGAATTTCTGCCTCGGCGTCGCTTCAAGTGCACTTCATGCAGCGTCTAGACAGCGGCGGAGCGACGATCATGGTTTTGAAAATCTGTGAAAGGTCAAGAGCTGAACATTTAAAGAGCACAAATTCTGCTTTTCTTCATCTGTGTTTAGTGTGTAACGTTGCTGTTTGATCATGAACAAGCTCCAGTTCTTCTCTATATCAGTGTCAGTGTTTCTGAACGCCTGAAACGCCTCCATTGTAGTCTTGAGTTTCTTCCGGGAACGAACACGCCACAATATTCCTCATTATAATAATTCATAAGCAGATTAAAGGGGCGGGGCCTGGTTGAGTTAGTTAGTAGTGTGTTAAACTGGCGGTTATGGAAAGGGGCGGGACTTTCCCAAACACACTCGAAGCGCTCGACTAATCACAACACACTGCTCCAGCCGACCAATCAGAGCACAGTGTGCTTTTCAGGAGGAGGGGCTTCATAGAGACAGGAAGTAAACAGAGCGTTACTGACAGACTGGGAAGAGAGGAGCCGCAACAATGGAGAATATGAGGAAAATAATCAACATTCAAGCAGGAAAACCCGCTCTAGTAGAGCCTGAAACAACAAGGCTCTGCATACTCAGTCCTCGGTAAATGATGCAACAGAACTGATGTAGTTAAAGTGTCCAGACTCACGGCGTTGTCGCTGGTCTTCCCTGAGAGAATGGCTCTGGCCTTGGCTTTGGTCAGGGGGAAGTACTTGAGATAGGACTCGTACAGGAGTCTGGCCAGCGCTCTGAGATCCGCAGACTCCGGGTGCATGTGGTCCACGTCACTGGAGAACTCGGCCAGCAGCTTCTCCTTCTCCGCCTGAGGCATTCGGCCGAAACGAATGGCTGGGAAAAAAGCAAACAAACAGACAGTTGAAAACCCCCAAATCCCAGATCCATCATGCTGGGAGTCTTTGCTCAACGTCTCGGTCTGTGGGGAGTGTGTGTGTGGGAGTGTGTTTTCAGTGTTTCTTCATGTTAGCGCGGGTCATTATGACCGATTCAAACATTCTTCAGTGCTTTTCTTCTGACACTAATATAGAAATGTTTATACTAAAAACATTTTTTACTCATAAATTGCTAGTAAATCTCACAAAAACAGTAAAACATTGAATTAAAACGTCAAATCTTCTCCTGTAATCTTTTTTACAGCATAGTTTCAAAAAGTAGATTTTACGAAAAATATTTGTATTGACCCAATATTTAGCATGGTGTGAAAATATATGCAGTGTATTAATATAATTTTAGACATTTAGCACAGTTTTATCTAATGAGTGATTCAGTCTCCTTTATAGACAATCACAATATTTAAATTTTGGTTTCACTTTATTTTGATAAACACATTCTGTTGACTGTAAGTAACTTTGCAACTACAGTCTCATGTTAGTAGAGTATTAGTGGAGTATTAGTAGAGTATTAGTATTAGTAAAGTATTAGTAGAATATTAGTATTGGTAGAGTATTAGTAGAGTATTAGTAGAGTATTAGTAGAATATTAGTATTGGTAGAGTATTAGTAGAGTATTAGTATTAATAGACTATTAGTAGAGTATTAGTACTAGTAGAGTATTAGTATTAGTAGAGTATTAGTATTGGTAGAGTATTCGTAGTGTATTGGTGGAGTATTAGTAGAGTATTAGTAGAGTATTAGTAGAGTGATAGGGTTCGGGTTAGTAGAGTATTAGTAGAGTATTAGTAGACTGGTAGGGTTCGGGTTAGTAGAGTATTAGTAGAGTATTAGTATTAGTAAAGTATTAGTAGAATATTAGTATTGGTAGAGTATTAGTAGAGTATTAGTATTAGTAGAGTATTAGTAGAATATTAGTATTGGTAGAGTATTAGTAGAGTATTAGTATTAGTAGACTATTAGTAGAGTATTAGTACTAGTAGAGTATTAGTATTAGTAGAGTATTAGTAGAGCATTAGTATTGGTAGAGTATTAGTAGAGTATTGGTGGAGTATTAGTAGAGTATTAGTAGAGTATTAGTAGAGTATCAGTAGAGTGATAGGGTTCGGGTTAGTAGAGTATTAGTAGACTGGTAGGGTTTGGGTTAGTAGAGTATTAGTAGAGTATTAGTAGACTGGTAGGGTTCAGGTTAGTAGAGTATCAGTAGAGTATTAGTAGACTGGTAGGGTTCAGGTTAGTAGAGTATTAGTAGACTGGTAGGGTTCAGGTTAGTAGAGTATTAGTAGAGTATTAGTAGACTGGTAGGGTTCGGGCTAGTAGAGTATTAGTAGAGTATTAGTAGACTGGTAGGGTTCAGGCTAGTAGAGTATTAGTAGAGTATTAGTAGACTGGTAGGGTTCAGGTTAGTAGAGTATTAGTAGACTGGTAGGGTTCGGGCTAGTAGAGTATTAGTAGAGTATTAGTAGACTGGTAGGGTTCAGGCTAGTAGAGTATTAGTAGAGTATTAGTAGACTGGTAGGGTTCGGGCTAGTAGAGTATTAGTAGACTGGTAGGGTTTGGGCTAGTAGAGTATTAGTAGACTGGTAGGGTTCAGGTTAGTAGAGTATTAGCAGAGTATTAGTAGACTGGTAGGGTTCGGGCTAGTGGAGTATTAGTAGACCGGTAGGGTTCAGGCTAGTAGAGTATTAGTAGAGTAATAGTAGACTGGTAGGGTTCGGGCTAGTAGAGTATTAGTAGAGTATTAGTAGACTGGTAGGGTTCGGGCTAGTAGAGTATTAGTAGAGTATTAGTAGACTGGTAGGGTTCAGGCTAGTAGAGTATTAGTAGAGTATTAGTAGACTGGTAGGGTTCAGGCTAGTAGAGTATTAGTAGAGTATTAGTAGACTGGTAGGGTTCGGGCTAGTAGAGTATTAGTAGAGTATTAGTAGACTGGTAGGGTTCAGGCTAGTAGAGTATTAGTAGAGTATTAGTAGACTGGTAGGTTTCAGGTTAGTAGAGTATTAGTAGACTGGTAGGGTTCGGGCTAGTAGAGTATTAGTAGAGTATTAGTAGACTGGTAGGGTTCAGGTTAGTAGAGTATTAGTAGAGTATTAGTAGACTGGTAGGGTTCGGGCTAGTAGAGTATTAGTAGACTGGTAGGGTTCAGGCTAGTAGAGTATTAGTAGAGTATTAGTAGACTGGTAGGGTTCAGGTTAGTAGAGTATTAGTAGACTGGTAGGGTTCGGGCTAGTAGAGTATTAGTAGAGTATTAGTAGACTGGTAGGGTTCAGGCTAGTAGAGTATTAGTAGAGTATTAGTAGACTGGTAGGGTTCGGGCTAGTAGAGTATTAGTAGACTGGTAGGGTTTGGGCTAGTAGAGTATTAGTAGACTGGTAGGGTTCAGGTTAGTAGAGTATTAGCAGAGTATTAGTAGACTGGTAGGGTTCGGGCTAGTAGAGTATTAGTGGAGTATTAGTAGAGTATTAGTAGACTGGTAGGGTTCAGGCTAGTAGAGTATTAGTAGAGTAATAGTAGACTGGTAGGGTTCGGGCTAGTAGAGTATTAGTAGAGTATTAGTAGAGTATTAGTAGAGTATTAGTAGAGTATTAGTAGAGTATTAGTAGACTGGTAGGGTTCAGGCTAGTAGAGTATTAGTAGAGTATCAGTAGACTGGTAGGGTTCGGGTTAGTAGAGTATTAGTAGACTGGTAGGGTTCAGGCTAGTAGAGTATTAGTAGAGTATCAGTAGACTGGTAGGGTTCGGGTTAGTAGAGTATTAGTAGACTGGTAGGGTTCAGGTTAGTAGAATAAGTTGACATGTAGTTGCAAAGTTGCTTATAGTCAGTATAATGTCTGTTGAGGAGCATCACAATAAAGAGTTAGCAGATATTAAGCAACAGTCTACTAATACTTTAATGACGCTTTAATCACGCTAAGTGGATAAATATAAATGTAAATGTAAATGATAGCTATTTGACTTGTAGTTGCAAAGTTACTTATAGTCATAAAGTGTGACCTAAATTTCTGTTCAATACAGAGCAATAAAACTTGAGCGCATGATGTCAGCGCATGGATTATCATGACATTTCCTCTATCAGACACACAGAGACACTCCCTGATTATAGATATAATAATCAGAAGAACAGAAGTCTGCACTGAAATAAATCATCTTTGGACCAAGTATACTCCAATAGTTTTTTCAAATTATTTACAGAATTTGGTTCAAATTGATTCTTCAATTTTGAATAAATATTAATTTATTTTCCCAAAGACAAAAACATTTATAGAAAATAAAAAGATTTTTTACTTAATATATTTTCTTTGGACATAAGCCAAAATGTTACTTAACGTACTTAATTAATAACTCATGGTAGATAATTCTACGTGATTTTCCTCTTTATATGTCAATGTATTTTTTTTTTTTTTTTAAGGATAACATAAATTCACAATTGTCTGACAAAAGTAAGACTAGTAGCCAAACTGTGGAATATCTGTCCTCATTTATTACAGCACAGTTGTGTAAATCTGTCCAAATACATCAGGTTAAGAGGACTGGGAATGATTATATATTTGCTTTTAAATGTATTAATTCAGGCATTATAGGGTTAAGATAAACCTAAAAACATTTTGTTAGTCAATGTTAAATTTAGTTTACTATAAAGAAAGGCATCTTTTTGCTATCACTCTTAAAAATAAAAGTTCAAAAGGGTTTCAGAGCAATGCCGTTGAAGAACCATTTCAGTTCCCCGGAGAACCTTTCAACGATCATTACAAGAACCTCAGTGTGAAGAACAGTTTAATAATCTAAAGAAGCCAATTAAGAACATTTATTTACACATAGTAACAGTTCTATTTAGAACCATATTGTCCTGAGGAACCGTTACAATGTGTCGATTCAGGGTTCTTTATTCTCACCTTCTGTTTTTAAATCTGTAACTGTCAAAATAGTTGTAAAGCCCTTCATTACTGAAGCTCAAGCATCAACACTCACAACAGCTACTGATATCCTTTTAAAATTGATATATATATTTTTCACTTTCAAATCTCACTTTTTCCCACCAATCATGTGTTTTCTTTCTCTTTCAGTGTTTGTAAGCGTGAGCTCTTCTCTCTTCTTCTCCACTAAACAAGTCATTGGATTAATGAAGAGTTTTGAGTTATTTCTTGGGCTTATGCATAAACATGCCCAGTTCCCAAAACATTAAAACCATCCCATGACTTTGATCCCTTTTAACTTTGGGAAGGCTCACATACAGTATCTGTCCATTCACAACACGTTTGGCCATCACACACTGAACTGCTTTTACTGAAGCACATGAAAGAGACACAACCTCAAAGAGGATTGCGAAGATATTTCACTTTTTGGTTCCATTTTGTGTTTTATGTGTGTATTTATTCATGTTCACTGTCAGTTATCATTTATTAATGTATTCAGCTAATAACTTGTTAGGTCACTGTCATTGTTCCTACAATTTCCCATGTCAATAAATAATAAAATGACCTAATTGACACGACTAGCTGTCAGGTTTTTTTTTAATATATATAAATGCAAAACTCTAATTAATAAGAGGTTTTATTAGAGCAGGTAGTTGGGAAAAGCATAATATTAATAAATAATATTTAAACCCCTAAAATATTTATGAAAACGAACTAAGGTTCTCTGTAACAACATTATATGGTTCTTTATGGAAGCTTATAAAAAGTTCAGGTTCAACTTTTGAACCACAATCTAATTTAGAAGTATTTCTCTTAGAGTGTGTTTTTAGACAAACTTAAAACAGGCGTAATCTATAAAACTGCACTTTAAATAAATGTCACCGTCGTTTCACTTTTACAGTGTATAATCCAATGGCAGCATTCTTTGAAAACTTCTCCTTTTGTGTTCCAGGAAAAATTAAAAATAAAAGCATATGGTTTCAGAACAGCTCGAGTGAGTAAATAGTGTTCATTTATGAGTGAACTTTCCTCTTTCCTCTGTAAAACATGTTATATCAGTTTGTCTTTACATTAGCATGAATCTGCTTTAGCAAGATCTCGACAGACGACCTGTTTAAACAGCTTCTAATCTAACAATACCATCTAATGCCAAATTAATCTGTGCATTGCAATCTGAACTCTGAGAAAGCTGTAGGTATTTCCGCTGAATCTAGGACGGCCCGCGCGATCAAAGCCAACAGAAACAGGGCCGTAAACCCATCTCACCATTGTGCACATAAAGCTGGAAATAATGTCAGGCTAAACGTGAGGCTCTCAAACACTGGAACTGCTGAAATGTAGATTTGCAAGTGTCTTCCGATAAACCTTCGGAAAGTTTGCAGACCAGTTAGACAGGAAACGTGAAAAAGTGCCCTCGATTTATTGTATTTTTTTTACGCACAGAAACATTTGAAGAGCTTTGATCAGGATTGTGTGATTGCAGTGTTTGACTAGGGTTGGGACGTCTGACGTCTGAAGGTTCAAACCCACGCGGCTCTCAAAGCCAGAATGACAGACGTTATCTAATATCTATCCATTCTTTCATGTACTATATACTGTATATGTGCCCTGACTTGCTGCAGAATGGTTCTGATTGATATGACATATTCATTACGATCACGCCTTCAGTAAACGAGTGCATGCGAAGGCTCTGTGCGGCTGGCTGGAGGCCAGAGCGAGTGACACAGCATGTTTGTGGCAGAACGTCCACGCTTTCATGAATCATTGATAAAACACACAGGCAGCCAAATCCCACCAACCACTGCAACGTGTGTGAAGAGACAGAGAGAGAGAGAGAGAGAGAGAGAGAGAGAGAGAGAGAGAGAGAGAGAGAGAGAGAGAGGGGGGGAAACAGAGCAAGCCAATGGGAATGTGACAAACTGATAACGCTAAACTTGACTGACCTCGATGAGCGCTGGACAACACCTGTCATCAGCCTTAGTGCCCTCACACACACACTCTAACACCAGTGCGCTGAACACACACACACACAGATAGATAGATAGATAGATAGATAGATAGATAGATAGATAGATAGATAGATAGATAGATAGATAGATAGATAGATAGATAGATAGATAGATAGATAGATAGATAGATAGATAGATAGATAGATAGATAGACGGATGGATGGATGGATGGATGGATTGGTGGATGAATGGATGGATGGATGGGTGGATGAATGGATGGATGGGTGGGTGGATGGATGGATGGATGGGTGGATGAATGGATGGGTGGATGGATGGATGGATGGATGGATGGATGGATGGATGGATGGATGGGTGGATGGATGGATGGATTGGTGGATGGATGGATGGATGGATTGGTGGATGAATGGATGGATGGATGGATGGATGGATGGGTGGATGAATGGATGGATGGGTGGATGAATGGATGGATGGGTGGATGGATGGATGGATGGATGGATGGATGGATGGATGGATGGGTGGATGGATGGATGGATGGGTGGATGGGTGGATGGATGGATATATGGATGGATGAATGGATGGGTGGATGAATAGATGGATGGATGGATGGATGGATGGATGGATGGATGGATGGATGGATGGATGGATGGATGGATGGATGGATGGATGGATGGATGGATGGATAGATAGATAGTATCAGACGCTGGTAATGACATGTGGTGTTCCACGCTGAGGTGTTTTAACCAAGACTCGTGCGGTTGCAGGGTTGCAAGTAAAGTGTCACTCTGCCTTTAAGCCCAGAGGCAACGAACACACACACACACACACACACACACGCATTCACACAAGATCTCTGCACGTTCTGAAAGAAATGCCACATATGTTGCAGAGGAACCACACAAAGGAAACAACAGCGCAGTGTCTCAGGGCGTAACGTTAGAAGAGTGTGTGTGTGCGTGTGTGTGTGTGTGTGTGTATGTCTCGAGTGGTTCAAACAGAAAGCACTTCTGTGAAACGCAGGCCTCTCGTGTGAGACTCACCGTTGTGTGACATGCCCACCATCAGGCACTTCTGGAAGCGGCAGTACTGGCACTTGTTGCGGCTCTTCTTGTGGATGCGGCAGTGCAGGTCGCAGTGATCGTACACCAGCTTCAGCCGGATCGTCCTGCGGAAGAAGCCCTGCCAACAGAAGAGGAGAAGGAATGCCGTCAGGAAGGAAGGGGAAAAGGCTTTCCTGATGCCTTGTTAGAATTCTTTAAAAACATATCTGATCTATTCAACTCATTGTCAAGAATCACAATAGCAGTTCCTATAGACCTGAGGTCTGAACACTTAACTGATCCCACAACTCAATATGGGAGTGTGTGTGTGTGTATGGGGGGGGGGGGGGGGGGTCGGGGTGTGTGGTTAATGTGGGAGTGTGTGTGTGTGTGGCTTTAGAGGTAGGTTTAGTGTAAGGGGACAGAATATACAGTTTGTACAGTATAAAAACCATTACATCTATAGAGAGCCCCCACAAAGGTAGTGAACCAGATTGTGTGTGTGTATGTGTGTGTGTGTGTGTGTGTGTGTGAACAGAGGAGAATCTGCTGGAGAAATGAGAACGAGACAGAGCTCGTAATAAAACAAGAATCAATATCAGATCCTGAGTGTGTGTGTGTGTGTGTGTGTGTGTGTGTGTGTGTGTGTGTGTGTGTGTGTGTGTGTGTGTGTGTGTGTGTGTGTGTGTGTGTGTGTGTGTGTGTGTGTGGCAGGGGTTAGTTGAGTGTGTGTATGTGTGTGTGTGAACAGAGGAGAATCTGCTGGAGAAATGAGAACGAGACAGAGCTCGTAATAAAACAAGAATCAACATCAGCGTCAGGAGAAGAAGAACTGAGGGATTGTAAATGTTGTAAATGTTGTATTCTCAAGGAAGTATCGTGTCTATTACAGTTTTTTTGGATTGCTAAACGACAGTGAGCACAACTGGAGCTACATGTGCAAAACTCTAACTACAGTCTGCACAGCAGCAGTTCATGTGGACCAAACTCTAGTTCGTTTTTCAGTGCTTGAACACAGTTTTCAAAACTCTACACACTTATCCCATGACTTTAACCACAACCTGCACAACACTGTGGATTTACAGCACTTTGTTCAAATGCTAACACACTGCAGTCAAAACTGTGAACCACACATTCAAAACAAAATAGATTTCAGCCTTGTGCCTTTCAAACACTGCTGAGTGCACTTTCAGCTGAAAGGCGCAATTTTTGTACTTTTAGTTTCTACCTTTTTTTTCTCATTACTGTAATTCCGTAAATTACTACAGACGATTGAAGCAAACTGCTAATTTCCATTTACCTTAAAGAATTGTTATGTTCTAAAAATTTAAATAAATCATGTGAAAGAATGTCACTCTTTTCTTTGAAGAAAATATTAATTTGTATGAAGTCATTGTTCAAACTGTAAAGATGAAAAGTTAGTATTTTCTGTATTGGTGTTTGATGCTAGTGTTTTTACTCTCAGTGTGTAGTGACAGTGTGTGTTATCTCAGTGAGGGTTGTGCAGTGTTTGGCTGCACTGAGCCTGTTTTGAGCCGTGTGTTAAGAGTTGTGTTGCTTGGAATGAGTTTTGCAGGTGATGTGAGTTGTTTAGCTCAGGTGACTGTTGGTAGTGCAGACTGTAGTTAAAGTTTTGCACATGTAGCTCCAGTTGTACTCACTGTCATTTAGCAATCCAAAAAACCTGTAATGAGTAAAACTACAGTAACTCTTCAGCTTCAGCTTGAGATCTTTCATCTAAACTCTAGTTATATCTAGTAGTGAATGTTTTATGAACAGCAGGAGAGTCATATTCATCCTCTCAGAGCCAAAGCACAACCACAATATTCATCCGCCCAGAGCCGAAGCACAACCACAATATTCATCCGCTCAGAGCCGAAGCACAACCACAATATTCATCCGCTCAGAGCCGAAGCACAACCACAATATTCATCCGCTCAGAGTGTACCATAAAGCTTTAATAAAGCAGGGTACGTGACTTATATTACTATAGTGTTCTAGGATTTGTGTGATTGAATCTCGACATCCAGGAACAAGTCCGAGAACGAACCGTCTGTGAGCGAGTCAGTTGATTCAGTTCACACAACATGAAAGATGATCTGTTCAGTGATGAGGAAGAGGAGCAACATAAGCTCAGCGTGACTCTTCTGTATCGGCATCGATGATCCGTCAATAACCTTTAACATCCATGAACCTTAAATGACTCTTTACAGTGGAAAAGGTTCTTCAGATTATTCAAATGATCCTTCGTGGTTTTCTAATAGCTGTTCACTGAAAGCTTCTTTGAGGAACCATAAATGATTCTTCTATGGCATCAATGCAAAAAACCCTTTATTTTAGGAGGGAACTTTTATGATGATTCATTGTGAAGCTCAAAAGCTTCAAATCCCATTCGTCACAAGACAAAGAGCGATAATCATGGGTTGACCAAGACTATGGGTTCATAATAAAAGATTTTTAGGTGAATTTGGTAACACTTTATTTTACAGTGTCCTTGTTACATATGTTACATGTACTTACCATAGTAATAACGATAAATTATGCATAATTACATGCAACCCAATCCTAATCCTACCCTAACCCTATAGTAGTAAGTAGTTATTTAATATTACTCAGTACTTAAATATATAATTACACTGTAACAATGACACCTTAAAATGAAGTGTAACCGTGAATTATTCTGCTAACTTTATGCACATCAAGTCAGAAACACACAGTGTTGCTTTAAATCTTGCTGTAATCTCGAGAGCCTTTAAGAGATTTCGATTCCAACATTTTCCTCAAGTCATTACACCCAAAGATAACCTGTGCTCTCACGCTAGCACGCTTTATCTAAATAACACAGCATTAGAACAGCCGGCTTTGGACTTTGGCCAGAAAACAATTCTTGTTAGTCTTAGTCTTGACACTTATCATTAATAAGTGGAGAATGCATGTGCAAATATTATGAAAACCCACGTGCAACGACGAATACGCTTGGAAACCAGCGTCTAAAGGACGGCAGAACAGCAGATTTCCAGTGGAAACAATACAGGGTGCAAAAAGACGTTGACTATCTATTTTTGGTAGACATTTTCATATACAAGTGTTGTCTCAGAGCCGCTCCATGCAGTATTTTTAGTTTGTTAAAAAAATACATAGTGATGTGAGAACTATGCACACAGGAAAGAGCCTTTTAAAAGAGGATGTTTTTCATGCATTTACTCTGCCTCTCGATACCTCCACTTTTAAATTTAGAAACATCGTAGGCCAAAAATATATATAGTAAGGTGTAACAGAATGGCTTTGTGTTGTTAAACAATAAATGAGTTAACCTGGTTGGCTGAACTCATCTTTAAGCATTGTTTGGGCAAGTGACGGGACGGGGAACAATACCAGTTTCTCTTGTGGTCGGACCATTTTTAGTAAAGCCACAGTAGACCTTCCCAAATTAAGTTTGTTCTGAAATGTCTTTTTCAGACAAACACACATTAAACAGTTCTGGCGAAGTCCTCTGATTCTTCAGAGAAAGCAGCAGATCGAGCGTGGATGTGGTTAGCCACCAGATTTGCATTGTTTTAAAGGATCATCCTGTTGCAAAGTCTTCACATCAACACTGTTCATAAACGTGTGCGTGATGATATCTACGCTAGCGTTCAGAAGAGATTCGACAATCAGAAATACAGTAAAAACAGTGAATAAAAATAGTAAATGTGAATATACAGTAAAGTGTCATTTATTCCTCTGATCAAAGCTGAATTTTCAGCATCATTACTCCAGTCTTCAGTGTCACATGATCCTTCAGAAATCACTCTAATATGATGATCTGATGCTCATTTATGATTATTATCAGTGTTGAAAACAGCCGTGTTGTGGAAAACGTGATGCATTTTCTTTCAGGATTCTTTGATGAATAGAAAGAAATCTTCTGACCCATTATATATGTTTTTACTGCACGCTTGATCAATCTAATGCATCTTTGATGAATAAAAGTATGAATTTGTTAAAAAAGAAAGACAGTGTAGAGCACGTACGAGGGGCTCTTTGTGAGTGTGTGTGCCTTGTCTCATCTAAACCACAGATGTCGAGTGTGTGGGAAATGTCTGAGATGTCTAGGTCACCCACTCATGATTATTCTTATTGAGACATATCTTTCTGCCCATACATATTTCTGCCACAGTGGAAACTTGCCGAGGGTTTGCGGTCGAAGTGTCAGACGTTCAGAGCGTTTTCAGACCTTATCTGCATGTCTGAGAATGAATTCGATGTTCGATGTTCTAAATTTGTCAGAATGACTGGAAGAGTGTCATGTGTTCGGGGTATTAATGCATCTTCTCTATCAAACGTGTGTGTGTGTGTGTTTGTGGGTCCTGTGGTGTGATGGTTAGAGATCTGAGCTGGAAAGTGTAAAGCAGTGAGTGTGACCTCTTGAGCTCCGGCTGATCCCAGGGGATTGTGTGTGATCATCCCGACTGAACACTAAACAAGCAAAGCCTGACAACACACACTACCAGCCAAACGTTTGGGGTTGGTGAGATTTTTAATGTTTTTAAAATGAAGTCTCTCCTGCTCACCAAGGCTGTTTAATTTGATTAAAAATACAACAACAACAAAAAACAGTAATATTGTTAAATATTATGACAATTTAAAATAACTGTTCCCTTTCGAGGGAACTCGCGATGCGTCATCGACGCTTTGGGAACGCCCCCAGCGTGAATGCGTCTGAGCATCAATGTCACCTAGTCCAATGGAAAGAATGAGCGTCACGGGCGGGTGACGTCATGACCAGGAAGGGATAAAAGCACATCCGGTGAAACGCGGCATCAGCTTCTGTGTCTCAGCAAGCGTTCTGTGTCATTTTGTCTCTGTCTATTTATTGTTGTCTGTTGAATTATATCTCGGAAACGTTATGGCGAAACAAGTGTACAAACAGTGTGCTCCTCCCTGCCCGCGTTATTTAACGGGTGGAGACACACACGAGCTTTATGTCATTTGTTTGGGAGTGGAGCATGCGGTCTCAGCCTTCGAGGGGGCTGAGTGCCAACACTGTGAAATGCTACCGCTTCGCATGCTCCGCTCTCGCCTGTCACTCTTTGATGTAGAGAGTGGGCAGGCTCGCGATCCGCAGGGATCAGGACCCGCGTCTGCCGAGGCAGCGCG